AAGCAGCACCCAGCATCTACCTGTCTGGAGCTGTGGCTGTGCCATCCCAACTACACCAGCGGTCAGAGCCCTATCTTTCATCTTTTCCAGCTATCAAAGACATATCTTTTTGTTCTTGTTCCTCTTTGTCTTTGTGCTATCTTTGAGAAATCTTTCCATTACAGTTGCACATACGCATACGTTTTCTCTAAAGCACGCTCAGTTACATTGACCCCATTTTCACATGGTATTAAGATCTGTCTCAAGCGATAAAATCTAAGGTGGACAGCAATAAGGTGTAAATGAGATCCAATTTTTTTTTGTACTTTCGAAAGTTAGTTAATACAGCTGCTTAACTAAAATAACTAAGTGGGTGTGTGGGTGGGTGTGTGTGCATGCGCACTATTAAATGTATTTGAACTGTATGTTGTTTTGGAAAAAATAATCTGTTAAATAATTACTTTTGTAACTTTTGCAGGATTCTATTACGTTGACCCAAACCAAGGCAGTCCTTTAGATGCTCTTTTGGCCTACTGTAACTTCTCAGAGTCAGGAGCAGAGACCTGCCTTCACCCCAGAGATGCACACGTAATGTTCTAGTTAATACCTCAGAGGTGGACAGTAGTGAAGTATTTTTACTCTGCTTTAAAAGTACTTTTCAAGTGTCTGTACTTTATCAGTACAGTGTTTTTCTTTAGAAAACTTTACTTCACAATATTCCAAAGAATAATATTGTACTTATATTAATATTGTAAAATCTTATTATCGCTCTTCCAATTTCCGTAGCTTCCCATAAGCACTTGGCTGAATGACTCAGGGAATAACAGCAAGTTCTACTGGTTAAGTTCACTGGAGGGAGGTTTTAAAGTAAGTAGTACTATTTGTTTGTGGAAATTTTTACTTCCTATTGGATCAAAGTTTGTGCTATTGACAAGAGATAGCCCATCTCTTGACTCTGGGATAGTTGACCTCAAATTAAAAAATTCACAGGATTTGTAGATTTTGGCTACGTTCACACTGCGAGCTTTAGTCCTAAATTCCAATTTTTGCTCAGATCCGATTTTTTTGTATAGCTGTTCACATTGTTGTTTTAAATGTGGCCAATATCAGATTTCCAGTGTGAACAGATCATGGTTCTGAACTGGTCCATATGCGCAAATGAACAATACGAACAGGGTTGCCAGGTTTTCACAACAAAATCTGCTCAATTGCTTCTCAAAACTAGTCCAATCATGTTCTGGGGGTTATATTTCGTGTTAGTGGGGTCGCTTTAACCCATGGAGTTGAAAAACAACCCCTGCAACAGTGAAAAAGTTGCCCAATTCTGTGGGAAAACTGGACTTGGCAACACTTGCGCATTGCGCTGCCATACGAAAGTAAACACAGAGGACATAAAGTAAGCGATTGTGCATTTATTTATAGTGTGATCTGCCGCAGAAGCCAGCGAAATTATGCACAGGCAATATGAAAAGGCAATAAAGACAAGGATGTGACCGAAAAAAGCAGAGTTTTGAAACTTTTATGATACGAGCTCTTATGTTCTGACTCATCTCTGTACTTCCACTGACTACCTTTCGCAACTGTCTTGATAGCTTTGGGTTTGTAAAATCTATGAAGTGACTCCCATGAGCGCAGAATTGTGATGAATGGTGATGGTAGAAGTCACATGAATTCCGATATGACTGTTCACACTGCGGCCGCATTGCAAAACATCTAACCTGTATCGGATTTAGTATCACATATGGAAGTGACACAAATCGGAATTGAAAAGATCAGATTACATGTGGTTTGTGCTATTCACACTGTCATAAGAAAAACAGATCTGAGTCACATGTGAGCAAAAAAAATGGGATTTGGATTTATAAACTGATGTATACACTTTAGAAGTTGATTGTTTACTTTTGTGGTTCTTTTTTGTGTTTTTTGGACATCAACAGCGCCATTTACTAGCCATTTTCTAGCTAAATACTAGCTATTTTGTTGTATAGAAAACAAACAAACAAACAAAATGATAATGGAATTTTTTACATTTTGCTGAACTGTCCCTTTAATGCTTTAACATCTTTAATTGATTGTCCAGGTTAATTGCTGCTAATAATGCACTCTAAAAAAGGCTGGGTTAAATATAACCCAGCGCTGGGATAAAAAGGGACAAACCCTGCTATTGGGTTGTTTTGACCCAGCGGTTGGGATGTTTTGAACCCAACCACTGGGTCAAAACAACCCAATAGCTGGGTTAAAACAACCCAATAGCTGGATTTGTCCCTTTTTAACCCAGCCCTGGGTTATATTTAACCCAGAATTTTTTAGAGTGTGTTGTTCTTATTATAAAAGTCTTGCTCTTCATTGTTTTATGTTCCGTTTCAAGCCCTGATGTTGCACACAGTAAACTGTCCGTCCTTCAATATTGCCATCAAAACCCATCTGTCTGTCTTTGGTCAGTTTGAGTATCCAGCCCTCAGTGTGGTTCAGCTGCGGTTTCTACGGCTCCAGAGCAACAGAGCAGAACAGAGAGTAACGTACTCCTGTTACCCTGGACACCGACTGGGCCAGACACAGCGACAGGTCCAGTTCCTCACAGACGCCATAAAGCAGAGCTATTTAGGAGAACTGCAGGATTGTGTGGTATGTGGATTCTAACAGCACTAGTAATAAAAATGTGTAATTTTTATCACATTTTTGAAGGTGAATCGTTTTTATATGGTTCATTCATTGCTGTGGTGAGCACATTTATTTTGATATACACTACTGTTCAAAAGCTTGGGGTCAGTTGAAAGAAGTTTTGGTCACCAAGGCTGCACTTATTTGATCAAAAATACAGTAAAAACAGTAATATTGTGAAATAGTATTACAATTAAAAAATAGCTGTTTTCTATTTGAATTTATTTTAAAAATGTAATTTATTCCTGTGATGGCAAAGCTGAATTTACTGCTCAAAAACATTAGCAATGTTTCAAACAATTGTGCTTTACCTTTAACAATAATTTTAAAACCATTTCTGTTTGTATTTGTTGAACCAGTCTGCAAAGGAAGTGGATCCCGGACCGCGTGAGTCCATGTTTCAGTTTGAAGACATGGACCTGCTTCCTTTACGTGATATAGGAATGTTGGGCAACAGCAGCCACGAGTTTGGCTTCACCATCGGCCCTGTGTGCTTCAGCTAGAGACACCCTGAATGATAACGCTACATCCTGTGCATTTAACCTTAAATACAAACACCAAAAAGAAGAAAACAGGACACTCTGAAGACACATGCAGCATCTACAGCTCGTGGTAAGGAAATACGCTAAACAGAGTCCTGTCTATCCCTGTGCTTCCAGACAAATGGCCAATATCCTTTTTTGTTTACAGGGACTTTTGGCTTTGTAATTAATGTACTATTTTTATAATAATTGTATTTGTTTTAGCAATGTTTTTTAATCACTAGCTGGACTTGTAATAACATTGTAGAAGAAGCTTGGATCGTATCAAGTGTAATGACAGGGTTCTGACGTGACCACTATGTGGTTGCATGGTTTAAGTTTCAGCTGTTTACTATTTAATCGTGTACAAATGGTTATCATGGATTAACTGGTTATTATGCGTTATTTAGGTGAGTGTATGAATGACACTTTTTCCCCTCTCTTTTAAGTGTCTAACTTGAATTGTAGGACTGATAGAAACAAAGCGTCCCAGTGAGGACACAGCTAACCTTCCCATGAGGTTTGGATATCAGGAAGTCTGTGCTACCTTTCTGTTTTCTCTGTTCATGTCATGATTTGGTTTCAGAAATGGTCATGTTACCTAAATATGTATGTTAGATGATTTATGGGTGCTAATATTTACAATTCATAGTAAAAGTTGTTTCAAAAAGAGAAGAATAATACAAACTGCAGCAAAGCTGGTTAATAAATGTGCAAGCAGTGATCTGCATTATGGATATGAGACTGAAAGTCAGTACACATGCATAAAGTCATAGAGACAAGTGTCCTTCAGTTCACATTTACTGTATGTAGGTCTCAGGGAGCACTTACAAATATGACATAAATATAAAAAAATACACAAATGATATAGGTAAAATAGGTTAATATGTTAAGATTAATCAAACAAAGCCAAATACAAGTGTCGTTCATCATTATCATTTTAAATCACATTGAATTTAGGCACAGGTGCTTTGTTTTGGAAAACTTTTTGTTCTAAAACATTTTGTACTGTATATTGTGTTTTCTATGTATTTGTGGTGACATCGAAATCACATGCTGGTCATCTGTTTGAGCATCAGCTATAAAAAGTGCATGATGTATCATTTCAGTCGTGTTGGACAATTTTGTATCATTGTGTGAAACACGAACATTTCTTAAAAACTGCTTTGTGGAGTTGTGTTTTTCATGTTCAAACAGCAAAACATGCTAATGAGCGAAACTGCAACCCAGGTGTATCTCAGAAGTATCCATGAGCAGGTACAATTCACTAGAATAGAAGTGCCACCCTTTGCCTGTATTTGTTTTCTGAATGCAGTCATTCGTGTCCTGTAGTCTGTGTGGAATGGGACGAAGTGGGAAATCTACTGTACACTGCATACCTAAGCCTGCCATGAAAGATTTCAAAAGTTCAGATCTGGTCATTGGGAATGAAATGGAAGGTGCCAGACTTTTGAGTGTCTATAAGGACATCATCATATTTTATTGCCTGAACATCATGAGGGAGGTCCCATCAGTCCCAGATAACAGAGATCACTAAAGTGTTTCTTTATTTTCACTATCACCTAATTTATATATATGTATGTGTGTATATATATATATATTTTATAATTCATGTCAAGCCTCTTGTATTTTCAAATGTACTTTAGCTGAATTCTCTAACTGTATATTAGTTTATTTTACATATACACTATTATGCTATATTGTATTATTGATATATTTATCTATTTGCAGTACTTGAGTACAACTCATTTTTAAGCATAGTAAAATGCTTAATTTGTAATATTAATATATAATATATGTACATACACTAAAATAGGATCCAGGATGGATGGATGGGTGCATTTATGTATATATTTTATTTATTATTTATTTTAGTTCCATATTTATACACTAAGTCAATTATTATATTTAAGTGTATTCAAATACTTAATTTATGCTATTTAACATTAAATATATAGGATCCAGGATGGATGGATGGGTGCATTTATGTATATATTTTATTTATTTTAGTTCCATATTTATACACTAAGTCAATTATTATATTTAAGTGTATTCAAATACTTAATTTATGCTATTTAACATTAAATATAGTATTGCCATTTTTTTATTTGGTTGCATATAACACAATTCTGCATGGGGCACTCAATTTCCAAATGTAGGTCTGTTTTATTTGTGGTGACGTTTTTGCAATTTCATTAATAATCAAGCATTATCAGAACATATATTAAAAAAATAAGATGGTAAACCACACTATCATTAATATGATCATGTTTACTGACATTGTTGAAGTGAAAATCGGTTATAACTTATAAGGTTATGAACGTGTTAATAAAAGAGGGCGGAGTCCGAACGAATGACGCATGAGCGTGAGGATCACGTGATATAGTAAGGAGCCGACACATAAACATTTGCCATAGCACACAGCTGTTTGACTAGTAACAGCGTTCATGCTTATTTTTCTACAGATTGACATATTATGAACAGACTGCATATCAGCCTAAATGAGCGTTTTGTGGGAGGAACACTGGGTTTGTAGGAGAGCAGCGTGATGGAGGAGAGATAGAGATCTGATAGCCACTCCTGCTGTCACCTACACACTGAGTGTACACTATCACTACTCGCACAGTGGATGGGATGCATGGGCTGTGACCTCCTCCTCTTCATGCATATAGATCCTCCTCCTAACCAGCAGCAGCAAGTTGTGCAGAGAAAGGTAAAACGAGGATGCGTTTGGAGGCCAGTTACTCCCTTACCTGAGCAGATGGGTTAAGCAGTTAATATGGAATGAATGCATTGTTCTCTTTCTTTTTGTTTCATTTTACTGTGCTGTATTGGTATGCCAAATATTACATTTGTATTGCCAAAACATCTGCTGCATAGCTGTGTAAAATGAGAAATCTGTCCATGTAAAATAAATATAGCAAGTACTGGTCCAGCACCATATACTGTATGTATGTATGTATGTATGTATGTGTGTGTGATATAATATAATATATATATATACACTGACGTTCAAAAGTTTGGGATCAGTAAGATTTGTAATGTTTTAAAAAGAAGTCTCTTCTGCTCATCAAGGCTGTATTTATTTGATCAGAAATACAGAAAAAACAGTAGTATTGTGAAATATTATTGCAATTTAAAATAACAGTTTTTCTATTTTAAAATACTTTAAAATAGAATTTATTCCTGTGATGCAAAGCTGAATTTTCATCATCATTGCTCCAGTCTTCAGTGTCTTCAAAACATTAGTGTATATTATTACAAAAGATTTATATTTTGAATAAATGCTGTACTTTTTATTCATCAAAGAATCCTGAAAAATGTCTCACAGGTTCCACAACAATATTCTGAAGGATCATGTGACACTGAAGACTGGAGTAATGATGAAAATGCAGCTTTGCATCTATTTTAAAGTATATTTAAATATAAATTTAAAATTACTGTTTTATAGTATTTTCTAAAGTAGCTTTCCATCCCTGATGATAATTTTAATAATAATAATAATAATAATAAAGATTTAGAAGCCATAACTAAAATTATTTACTACACAAAAGCTTATAACTTTTGACCAATAGGGGCGCTGTCACCAAATTGAAATGACATTGTCAAGACATTTGTTTAAAGGGGTCATATGATGCTTTTTTAAAGATCATTATTTTGTGTATTTGGTGTAACAGAATATGTTGACATGCTTTAATGTTCAAAAAACACATTATTTTTCAAATACTGTACATTATTGTAGGTCCTCTATGCCCCGCCTCTCTCAAACTCTTCATTTTCTACAAAGTCCCTCCTTCCGACAAGCGCAGTCTGCTCTGATTGGCCAGCTGACCCAGTGCATTGTGATTGGCCGAACACCACAAGCACGCATCGGAAATGTAACGCCCCTTACCATAATCGCAAGCTTCATCTTTCAAAATAAATGTAAAGACAGTAAATAATGTCATTAGTTTTACCATCAGTTCAAGCCCGAAAGGGGAACAGGGTCGCGTGACAGACACAGTGATGAAGCTGGTATGTGTTTGTGATATGACCCCCCCTCTCTCTCTCTCTCTCTCTCATGCTCTCGTTCTCTCGTTCTCTCGTTCTCGCTCTCTCTCGCTCGCACGCACACGCATGCACGCGCGATGCTCAAAACTCCGCATTTGAACAGTCAACAGCTAATACTTAAACTAATAACAAAACAGTAGCTGATTCAGAAGCGCCAGATTGTCATAGCAAAGTCAGAATTACCTCCTCTCTTAGGTTCACGAAACGGTCGTCCATAAAATGCATTGCTGTTCTGTTGTAAGTCATCTTAAAGATTCCTAAATGCATCTACTTTCGGAAGGCCAAATAAAGTGCTTTTGCTTTTTCGCCTAGAAACACAGCGTCTCCCTGACATGACTGCTTCAACACTAACTGCGGTTACTGAAACCACGCCTTCTTTTTTTGCGTGCACATTTGGGCGGCATTATGCTAATATTTCCACATAGTGACGTAGATGTGTGGGGGCGTGTTAGAACGAGCCGTTTTAAGGGGGCGTGGCAGTCTTAACTTTGATAAAGAATATCTCTTTGGATTTGAGACTTTAGTCTGCAACTTCAGGGATCTTATCTATGCACAATCAGCTTGTAACACTCCAAAGAGAAAGCAAAACTTGAAATAGCATCATATGACCCCTTTAAAAAATGGGTATCAGTGTATTGTGTATGGCCCAAACTTTTCCATTACCTCAGGACATGCTGCCGATTGTTTTGACAAAATTACATTTTACGACAAAATTCAAAATGGCTGACAGACAATATGGCTGACCCATGATTTTAGGCCAAGGTTCAAAAGATGTAATAAATATCAAGGTCAATGTAAATGTTGTTTCAGAAAATTAAAAATGGCTGAATAAAGTTGGACGATAATTTAAAAGAGTTATTTGACCCAACATGACCCACAGAATCAGATCAGATTTTCATATTCGATTGATTGATTAATTGATTGATAAATAATGTTGTATTCTGAAAGTTTTCTTTGTATAGAAATTATTCTTGTGTAGTATAAAACTTGCTGGAAAGCCATGTCGGCTAATGTGTGATTCATGAGCTCTTTTGAGTTGATTCTTTTTAGTGAATCAGTGGACTGGTTCACAGATCATCTGGAGTGATTCATTAGCAAATCAATCTTAAATCTCGAATTCTTTTTAAAAAAAGAAATATCCACATCCCGTAATCAAAAACAGCAGGAAAGGTCATGCAAATGGTTTGAAGGTGTGGGAACCTTGTCTCAAAAACAGATCTTGTAGTTCATTGCACACTTAAATTACACACTCAGATGATTTTACTTGTAATTTGCATTTGGGACAACCAGCATACAACTTTCTCCTGTATAAGCAGCATATGTGTGTCATCTTGGCAGGCCAGTGTCTTTAAATCTATCCCATCCAATAAGCACAGGTTGGTATGATAGAAACCAGATGCACTTAGGCTAATGTTCCTAATCCCCTCTTACATGGTTCTCATAGCCCTGGGACAATGCGGTGAACGGCACTGTCCCATGGTGTTCTCAGATCAGATGGATGCCAGTGTGCCGCCCCCTGCCTCGGTTTACTCCAGATTTAGTCCGGTGGTAATTAATCTTGTGAACAGATCTGTATTTTACACCTTGATTCTCCTCCGGGACCTGCAAATATCAGCGATGCTGGAGCAATAGACCTTCATGTGCTCAGCTCATGTTACGAATAGTGCTTTGTGGGAAAAATCACTTGATATCTGTGTCATTCTTGTCTTTTTTTTCCCCTTTCTCACCTATTTGATCCAGTGTCTTTGAGTGGTGGCTGTGTTAGAGATGTACTCGCCACAGAGAAAGGACTTTGTCTCTCTGACGCTGGGAGACCAACACAGCCGCAGCTACAGCAACGGCAAGCACCGTAGACAGTCCTGCTGGAGGGTTAGTGGCTGGGTATTTTCTTCTTAAAATGCCATATAAACCTTGTTTTGCAGGACAGAAATATGGACCATTATGTATTTTTCATTGATTAACGATGATGTTCGAAGGCTGATGGCTTCTGCCTCTTTGTTTGTTTGTGTAAATGAGTGCCATTTTCCCATCTGCGAGACGTCTTGACATCTATTTAATATTCTGAGAACAAAATGCTGGCACTGTAGTTGTCATGTTTAGTCCTAGCCAAACCAGAGGTGTCAAAGCCCTTGTTTTTTTACCCTTTTTTATTTAATCTACTAATTTGTTTATACTTAATTATCTTCAAAAAGCAGACATGCACTCCCTGCTTAGCTGAAACACACTTGTTTTGCTTGAACAAACTAACCTTTTAATTTAAAAACGTAGCTTAAAGGAACAGACAGCTCAAAAATGAAAACTCTGTAATGCTATTAAGTAGTCACTGTCATGTCTATCTGAACCACATGCTGTTATTTTTTTTTCTTGGGAACCCAGAAGGAGAATCTTGTTCATGGAACACCAGTTCAATGGCATTTAAGCTTAAAAAAAAAAAGACATACAAACACTAAAAAATGCAAACAAAGCACAGTGAGTTGAACTAAAATAGAAAATCGAGAACGCGAATTGTTAACAAATTTTAACTCGGTATATTCCTCACACAAAGCTATGGACAACATTGGTAATAATATGAAATGTTACTTTAGCATCA